GGAAAAAGAAGGGGGGCATTACGATTAGCATGTATAATATGGGGGGGCTGGGGAGGGCTGTGCAACACAGAGAAGTAGTGATTCTATAGCATCTTACTATGCTGATGGACAGTAACTGTAATGGGGATTGTCGGGGGGACTTGGTGAAGGGGGGAGCCTAGTAAACAATGTTCTGCATGTAATTATAGGTTAATGATAACAACAACAAAAAACTATGACATTAATAAAAGCACCATTATTAAATGATAAATAAATAAATAAATAAATACCCAGCCGGTGAGCCATTCCTCTCCTATGAAAGCACCTGAGGGATGACATGGCCTGCGATGACCAAGGCCCACTGGCCTATAAGCCCTGTCAGGAGGTAGAACACCTTCCCTCACTGAGCCACCTGCCCCTCTCCTGAGATAGTGGGGTGGGCAGCCGGGTAGGTACAAATTCGTGGGCATCAGACTCAGCACTCCATCCACACATGTTTGCTGGGGCGCAGGAGAGGGCGGGCCAGTCAAGGAGCAGGGGAGGCTGGGGGAGCGGAACCGGAGGACCGGCCCCTCCTTACGCCTGGCTGCCGAGACTGAGTGACCTGACAGAAGCCCTCCTCAGCCAGCGCTCAGCTCTGCTCCAAGTGCCTGGCCAGTTCAAGGTCACCACTGGCCACAAACTTGAGATTAGAAGGCATAGGAAGGACTCAGTCCTGACCCTCCATTAGCCATCCACCTGCTAATCTGTCAGTTAACATCGAAAGCCAGGAAGCAAATGGAAAGAACAATGGGACCTGTGGGCCAGGGCACTCAGGCCAGGAGCCAGCTCGGGGGGCAGGCCGGAGTCCGCCGTGTAGAGGTAATGCAGGAAGGCGCGGGCAGTCTCGGGGCTCACGTCACTCAGCAGGACACGCTGGGTCCTGGGCTCGCCGTCTTCTACAGCAGAGAAACCTTCCCTGCTCACCTGAGGGCAAAATAAAAGGCGGGTCTCTCAGCGGACATGCAACTCGGGGCGCAGCTGGTCTTGGGGCTGGAGTCTGGGTCTCACGAACGCCCTTATTCCCAGGATGAACAGCTGCCACTGTTGCTCTGTGTCATTGGCCAGGAATGTTGCCGATTGGGCCATAAAACTTCCTGTTTTTCAAAATCCCAGTTAGTTCAAGAACATGTTCAAGAACCCAACTAGTTCCTTCAGGCGTCAGAACTTTCTGACGGGAGGCCCGCAGCAGACTCCTGGCTCTTACGACACGACATTCAAGCCAGATGTGCAGCGCAGAAATGTCTGCCGGCAGCTCGGCCTTGAAGTTCCCCCACGACCGTAACTATAACTATGCACGTGGGGGAAAGGATACAATTCTAGGTGAAAAAGGTTTTTTATTCAATGGAACAAGACATCTCATGTTTCCCAATTCCGAGGTCATCTCACACCACTTCCT